GGTGGAAGAAAGTGTGTACCTAAATTCCCTCATTTCTCGAGCATGCTAATTTAATCAGTGGTTTATTGTCAGACTTTAATATTGAGAGGAGGTGTTTGCCATTCTTCAGTTAGTACGTTGTGATAAGGAGGACAAGTAAGGCTGCGGAAGGATGGTTTCTCCTGGTCATCTTAGAACAGCTCTTAAGTGTGAGATCATCAAGCTGAGCCCATTGACAATGGCAAACCAAGTATACTCTTTTCACCTTAAAAGTTGGAGCTAGCTGGCGTTAGAATTCACATTGATCAGAACTGGTTTTGTTAGTCCTCTCTGCTTACCCTTTTTTCCCCTAGCCACTTTGAAATACAAATGTTCATTGGAAGAGTTTTGAAAGCAAAACAAAAAGATTAATGTAAAACATTACTTATCTGTTAAAACTAAGATTTTGGATTACCTGGCAGCAAAAACAGGTATGACTTGGGTTTTTTTCTTTTTTGCAAGTTTAGGTTTTGTTTGGTATGTGTTTGAGATTGCACTATGTTCCCGCCCCCCCCCAAATAAGTGTTATAAATCCTAACCCCCAGATCTGTATTTGGAAATTGATTTTCCTTGTTAGATTAATGAGACAAGATTAGTGTCTGCTGTATTTTGAGTCAATCTCTTTTGAGATATAAAAGAGATTAAACAAGTGAGCAGAGGTGAGATGGGGTGAGCTACATGCCAAGACACTCAGAGATCTCGCAGGAACCAGGAGGAGAAGCTGAAGGAACAAGGACCTTCCTCCAGAGCCAAAAGAGAAAGAGCGCCTTCCCCTGAGAGCAGCGGTTCTCAACCTTTCACAGGGAGTAACAAAATGACATTAGGAAGTAGCAACGAAAATAATTTGATGGTTGGGGGTAGTCACACAACATGAGGAACTGTAGGAAAGGGTTGTGGCATTAGGAAGGTTGAGAACCACTGCCCTAGAGCCTGAATCTGAATTCCACCATCTCTCTTCCTAAACTGTGAGAAAATAAATTTCTCTTTGTTAAAGCCGTCCACTTGTCGTATTTCTGCAGCACTAGGTAATTAAGGCAGCATTTAATCATTTATGACATTTTTAAACATAGAATGCTTTGTTAATTTACAAATAAATGAAAATTTTAAATTGTTTCTCCTCAGAACACTAAAAAGCATACCCAAGGGTATTTTTGAAATTACTATTTTTATTTTGCTATTGTGATATTTATGAAAGTTTCCAAAGCAAATTGTTTTTTCCATTCCACAATGCATACACATTTTATTTTGTGGCATTGGTTGCATGCAATCCCCACAGTGTAGCAACATTCCATATTTTTTTAAACAATTTTATTGGCACTTCATACACATATCATACAATTCAATAGTTGAGCTGTATCAAAATGAGTGGGACAACCCCCACTTCTCCCATGTGCTACTATTCTTCTCTTCCCTACCCTTCCTACCTGTTTTCTTGCTCATATTTTTCCATTTTGCTCTCCTGTGGTAGGTTGTTCTGCAGCGTGTGTACCTCCACCATTTTTTATTCAGCTAATAGGCCCACCTGTAGTTTAGCTGAAATGGAGCCAGGGGTAAGTTCAGTTCCAGGCTTAAAATGTGACTCAGAGCCATAGTCCCAAGCGTTCCACCAGTCTCTATCAGTCCAGTAAACCTAGTCTGTTTTATAGTTTTTAGTTTTATTGTCTGCTTTTCTTTCACTCTCTCCCAAATCCTCTAATGTGGTTCCTTTCAGAGCAGATAGTAGAGGTAGCCAGACACCATCTAATTCTTCTGATCTCAGGGTCATGGTGTCTGAGATTTTCATGTTTCTTTCACCCTTTAAACTATTTGTTTCCATACTTTTTTCCACCACTTTTCTTTGCTTCATATGAGAGACACCAATAAGTGCCCCTTAGATTGCTGCGTACAATCTTTTAAGACCCCAGTCTCTACCAACTAAAGTAAGAGGATATTTTTTAGGCCTGCTGCACAAATTTTGTTCAAGCATGACTGGCTGTTACAACCTACAGGATAAAGTGTGAACTATAATGCCATGTAACACCAAAGCCATATCTCATTGTAACTGTTTAACTTCGCTCTTAGTCCATTCTTTCCTCAGAGCACATCTGTACCAAACTATGCCACCATCTCCATGCATGTGCTTACTTTGCTCTCCTCAGCAGCTTTGAGGGCTTATCTCCAATAGCAGCTCCTCTCCAACCTCCTTTTTCCCTTTGCTTGTCTAGATTTTGCGTTGGTTTGTAATTAGGTTCACTGTCTCTCCGGTACCACTTTCTTGAAAGCAGCAGCTATCTGTATTCCTCTTTGTTTCCATGACTACTTCCAGTACCTGGGACATAAAAATCATTCAGTGGATGGATACCAGAAATATGGTTAAATATATTACCTACTAATAAATATATTAGTCTGGGTTGACTAGAGAAACAAATTCATACACTCATGTATGTATAAGAAAAAGCTTTATACACAAGAGCAATTGAATATTGAGAAAACATCCCAGCTCAGTCCAGATCAAGTCCTTAAGTCTGATATTAGCCCATATGTCCCATACCAATCTGTAAATTCCTCTTCAGACCGACGCAACACATGCAAAGATGCCGAATGCAGGAAAATCACAGGCCAGTGGGTGGAAAGTCTTGTGGATCTAGTGGCAGTAGAAGCATCTCAGCATTATCTGGCGTCTCTACGTGGCTCCTTCAACTCCAGGGCTCTGGCTGCATCATTGTAGCTCTATCAGTTTCATTGTCAGTAGTGTCTTGCAGGGAGTAGTGAGTGTGTGCCCCGCCTCCAGAAAACTATCTCCTTTCCGCCTCCAAATGAGGTCATCAAGCTGCGACCTGATTAACTCCACCCCATTCACTCTTAAGTCTCAAATTGACACACCTAGGTTTTGATAAAAATCTGTCATAACTATTCAGTCATATTAACCAATGTGTATCCATTACAGATAGTTGAAAATGGAGGGGGAAAGGTGAAGACTCGAATGTATAATAAAATCTCCATTGTATTAGTGTGTTCAGAGAATAAGCTATTAAGGTAAACTACATTTTTTGGTGGATTCAGTAATAACTTTTGTTTCAATACATGAGAATTTTTCCAAATGGATTAAAATATCTTTCTAGAATAGTATTATGACCGTAATATTTGGGAACTTGAAGCATGATTTGTAATTTTTACTTTCAAATGAATACAATCATCATATTGACATAGATAGTATAGCATTCCCAAGATAAATAGGGTGCATGAGTTTGGCAGCTTTGAACCCAAACCTACTAAAATCAGAATCTTTGACTTTGGGACCCAGGAATATGTTTCTCATTAAAACCTGGAGATGATTCTGACAGGCAACTAGATTTGGGAATAAAGAAGCTAGACATACCAGGGGGCTTCTAAAAGTTCGTGGAAAGACAGAATTATTGCACAAACTTTTGAAGCTCCCTCATATTGGCAAAACACATAATTTAGATGAGGTTTTTCCCTTTCATGTTCTGGTAAAAAGTCTGACCGATTTTAATTTACTGTTTGGTTATGGTGTAATAATCCCATACAATGTCATTCATCTCCTTCAGCAAGGCATCCTGTTAAAAGTGGCCGAAACAATCAAAAGTTGGATTTCATTTTCTCAATGCAGTAAGAAAAATGGCTTACTTCGCAAGCTGGTACGTTTGTGCTCTCTTCCTTATCTCTTTTTCAGGGCTTCAGTTTATTCCAGAGTCGATGAACTATAACTTAATTTGCTGCTGATTAGCAGTGATTAATTTTGCTCATAAATCCTGCACGAACCAGGGAACTTTTCCCTAATTTTAGGAAAAACACCCTTGAGTTTGGGTTCTTTTATGGTTCATAGTTCTTACAAGAGGCTAGTAACCACTTAGACTAGAATTTATAGTTCTCAAAATCTTATCTGTTAGATTGCTGATTTTTTTGTTACAATGTTCCTCCATTGCAGGTACTTTTCTCAACAGGGAAGGGGCTATATTAATGGACTCTTTTCTACTCACTTTTCAAGGACCCTTGGCTGCATAGTAGGTGTAGCTGTGCTGCTCCTTGATAGAAAGATGAGTCTTTCTGTTCCCATAAAAATGTGTAGCTTTGGAAACCCCAGGGGCAATTCTACTCTGTCCCATAGGGTCACTGTCAGTGGGAGTCAACTAAGTGGCAGTGGGCTTGGGGGGAATTGTCTCCATTTCACTCAGGATCTTTCCTATATATATGCCTCCTTAACACACAGCCTACGAGTATCTGGAAATATAGTCTGTGATAAGTCATAGAATATCCCAAAGACGTGAAGTAGTCAACATTGAAGGTCTTTGTGCGTCCTCGAAGGCTTATTTACCTCTTAGTAACCTCTATAAGATGTCCTAAGGGAAAGTGAATTTTAAATGCATTTTTTAGAGAACCTTTATTAAATCCTAAACAGGGCAAAGAAATAATCAGATGAGGGAGACCATAGGGGTGTGCAAAGACTTCCTGGCCTCGTGGCTAACTATAGGAAGAACACAGAACAGGAAACTCATCGCAGAATCAGGATTGTCAGCAGATCCATGTTCATCCATGTTGCAAAAGCAGTACTATGGAAGTGGGAAAGGGACCGTGATTGCAGATTAGAAAATCTTACAGGATTGGTTCTGGGACCCTCTGACCACCTTGGCTATGTTATGACTCATGGTGACGTAGCCTTAGGTTCCCAATTTCAATTAAGGACAAACCCCTGAGGGCCAGTCTGCCCTTTCCTGGGCTGACTAAGGGCGTTTCAGTAGTTCACTTTCAAACATATTCTGCCTGGGGCTCCCACTGTAAACCCTAGTGAATTTGTTCTTTGTGTCCCTCACTGCACTCCTTTGCACATTATTTTGTGATTGTTAATTTTTGGTCTTCTCCTTAGCCTTAATTCTTTGAGATTAGGTACTTAGGTGTTAATCATTTTTGTATTTTCATTGTCAAGCATGGTGCCTGATATGTAGAATATATTCGTTGATGGCTGATTAGAAAGAAGAAAGGGAGAAATAAAATGATCTAGTATTATAGAAAAATATTTTGTATACTACAGAGACCTATACAAATGTTAGAATGACTTTATGTTACATTCCTTAGGGAAGTATTTTGGATATCTGAATGTCTATTTTTAAGAGGCTTTGATCCTGCTAATATAATTCTTAAGTACTAGCTATATTATTACAATATCCAGAGATAGCATCTTTTATTTTCTAATAATCTATTTTTGATGTTGTGATCTGGCAGTTTCATTAACCAGATTTAATTAGACAGATAGTTCTTTTATATATTGGCCTAGTCATGTCCACCTAAGTCTTTCAGTTTCGCATATACCAGGAAACTAAAACCCCATACGGAAGATAGATTGAACTGTTTTCTTTCTACATGAAGTCTGAGCTGAAAATAAACACCAAAATTTTATTATTACATCAGGGGCTTAACATTAAATTTAAAATTATGTATGTATTACTAATTCCTCTCTTCCGGTCCTTTAATGACAAGGATATTGGATTCCGACTAGACTCGCTACATACCATCCTGCAACAGGAAGTCCTGCTACAAGAGGATGTGGAGCTGATTGAGCTGCTTGATCCCAGTATCCTGTCTGCAGGGCCGCCTCAACAACAGGAAAATGGACACCTTCCAACACTTTGCTCCCTGGCAACTCCTAATATTTGGTACTGTCCTGATATATAAGTATTTAACAGGAAATTTATCATCATGCTCTCACTTATAAAGGCATTAACATCCATATGTTTTAGCATTACAGCTAAACAAACATCCAATTGATTATAATAAACTTCCAACTGAGTAAAATTCATTGTGTAGTGAGCTATCTAAAAAGCAGGTATCATATGTGCCAACAAGAATCCTTCTCTCCCATCCATGTGTCTATGCAAACCCAGCCCGTTCTTTACGTTTCACTTTAATTACGAGAGCATCATAATCACAACACAGGCTGGCACATGGCCGTGAACTTTCGCCTTTTCCTGAGTTGACTGTGAAGAGTTCATAGGGAGTATAGTTCAATTATTCAAACTTCGTGAGACTTTCCAACCACTGGAAATGTTAAGATCTAATTCTCAGGCAATAATCTGGGGTGTGTTTTTTTTGTTCTTGTTTGTTTCATTTTTTAATAGTAAAAGGGAATTCATATATGCAAAACTATTGGATGTCTTTTCCTATTTAATTTGGCAGTGATGGAGGAATATAAAAATTACATACCTTGGCCTCTGTGTCGGAATTTACCTGTCCTCTGGCACTGACAGTGCTTCTTGTTAACAACAAGTAGCAAAGCGTGTTTTCCAGACCTGTAGGCACTGAAGTATCATTCATCAGGTGATAAAGCAGCTTATCCCTCAAGAATACGAGGATCCATGCAGCTGTTAGGAAAAAACATAGATTTTTTGCTACTTTATTTTCAAGCTTTCTTTACTTCAAAACATGTTTGCACACTATGACACTATAAATACTAGTAAATGTTGCTGTTGGTTCATAAAAGCACGAGTATAGGATAGGAGTTTGTGTTATGGTATAGTCACCAGCATAGTCTAAAATGTAAATGATGTCTAGGCAATTAGAGCAGGCAAATACTTAATAAGAAGTGATTTTACATGTTTCTTTCTTTGTGTCTATTAGACTTGTAATTGCTTGCATTGTTTTTCATACATGTCTTTACTTTGATCAAGTAGAATAAAAATAAAAGTCACGTCCATCTCAAAGTGTGCAGTATGTGAATTCCAAATCCATGAAATGGAATAGTCCATGAGGATTCTCTAAAATGATTCAAAACAATTGCTGAGTACACATTATTCCTAATTGGAAGAAACATTTTCTGAGAAATTATTTGCTTCTGTTCAGAGTCTGATTTTAAGGGGAAAAATGCTTATATTATCTCCCAAATAGTATTTTTGCTTTTAAGTCTATAGGACTAGCATTTAGAATATGTAATTTGCTCTTTAAGTTGCAGATTCCACATCTCTCATTTTTTAATTGTTTTATTAAAGAAGACAACTATCCTAATATCTTTAACCTAAATTTGGAAGCTGAGATATTAATACCTAAGAACCATTATGTAACATCTAGATATTTTTTAATCTAACATACTTTTTCATAAGTCATACTTTACAAAGAAACTAGCATTTAATCCATTTTGATAACCTAAACTTACAACTATTTTTACTGGTAAAAGTAACTCATCGTTCATTCTTTAGTCTGACGAATATCGTATGCTTGATGTCTTTGTCCCAGGGATGTCTCAGTGCTGTTTGCCTTCTTTAGCTTGCTGGTGATGCTTCCCACTTGGTGGATTGTATCTTCCTGGCTGCTGTGGGGAGTGATTCTCTTTGTGTATCTGCTCATCAGAGCTTTGCGATTATGGAGGACAGCCAAACTGCAAGTGACCCTAAAAAAATACATTGTCCGTTTGGATGACACAGCAGCCAATAGCCGAGCTTTTACAAACCTTGTCAGAAAAGCACTGCGCCTCATTCAAGAGACTGAAGTCATCTCCAGAGGATTTACTCTGTGAGTTCATTTTTCATTTGCTTTTTTAAATGATTCTTTCTACAACATAGTAAAATGTGAATATATAACTTATTTTCCTGTCTTGTGTTTCTAGAAGGCAGGGGTGGGGGGAGGGGCGCAGGTTTCCCAGTACCATGTGTTAAATTTTATTAACTACCAAGTGAAAAAATAAATAATATGCTGCACTTAGTGTGTCTTATGATTATTATTTATCTACCTAGAGACACCTTTGGGAATAGTGATTATTCTTTTAAGTTACCATGTAACTTATACTAGATAATATATATTGAGAGTGCCTACTACAGCCCTCGCATGCAATGAAACCATTGCCATCAAGTCATTTCCGACTCAAGCAACCTTACTGATGAGTTTCCAAGTCTGTAATCTTTATGAAAGCAGACTGGCTGCTCCGTCTCTCTCCTTCAGAACAGCTGATAAGTTCAAACCAGGGTCCTTTCAGCTAGCCGCCAAGTACTTAACTACTGTGCCACCAGGTTCCTTTAGAGATGTTCCAGTCAGTATGTTTCCTTTACTTCCTACCACATGTCCTCTTTTTTCCAGTTTAAATATTGACATGAATTCATTTTGAAAAAGTTCACCATGTGCTAATAGTATCCTTTGAGTAAATATTAGCAGATATCATGGCACTTACGCTCTCAGATTATACAGACAGTGATGTCTCACATGCTCACAGGAAATAAAATATTCACCAGTCTAGCTGAAAATATATTAAGCTATAGGATATGCTGATTATAAGTTGGTGGAGCAAATATTCAAATATACTCCCACCTGATTCCAAAACCTGTTTCTAGTATACTAGACTGGCTACCAAACACTAACATTTGACATGTGTAATATGGTATATAATAATTTACATAACCTTTGCAATATATAGGTGAGACAATGAGTATAGGGTGAAAATAATAATTGTTCTTATTAGTTGTCTCTGGAAAAATCGAGAAAATGGGGAGAGAAAGAACTTTGGGTGGCCATTGTATCCTGTGCTCTTCTCTGCTCTGCTCTTGAGTAGTATTTAAACAGTTTTTATATATAAAACTTGTTTTGGAAAATCATGAAACAGGAAAGTATAGAAGACTCTCTAGTAGTCATCTCATTATTTTTTTTTTTTT